TATTCTCCATCATTTGGTCTTCTATGTCACTAATTCTTTCTTCTGCCTAATTTATCCTAGCAGTTAGAGCCTCCATTTTTTATTGCATCTCATTAATAGCCTTTTTGATTTTGACTTGATTAGATTTTAGTTCTTTTATTTCTCCAGAAAAGGATTCTCTAGTGTCTTCTATGCTTTTTTCAAGCCCAGCTAGTATCTTTATAATCATTATTCTGAACTCTAGTTCCAACACCTTATTTATATCCATACTGATTAGGTCCCTGGCAGTCAATACTGCTTCTTATTCTCTTTCTTGAGGTGAGTTTTTCTGTCTTGTCATTCTTGCAGAAAGTGATTGCTTTTCTATTTGTAGAATTGCAGCATTTCTTTTCTTAGATCTCTGGTTGAGTTCACATGTGTTTGATAGCTATCTAGCTGAATTCCTGGGACTAGACAAAACTAAGGTCTCCTACTCCTCTGCTATCTTGGAAAGTTTAAAAAAATAATAATTTTTCAAAAGAAAGAATCTGGGATGCCTGGTGGCTTAGTTGGATAAGCATCCGAATCTTGATTTCAGCTCAGGTCATGATCTCGGGGTCCTGAAATCAAGCCCCACATAGGGTTCTGCACCGAGTATGGAGCCTGCTTAAGATTCTCTATCTCCCTCTCCCTCTTCCCCCCCAAAATAAATAAATCTTAAAAAAAAATAAAGAGTCATTGAGAAGAGTAACATTGTTTTACATTCTTGCAAATCTAACATCCAGCTTAAAGGAAAGTAGCTTGTTTCTCATACTTCTGCATTCTGTATTCTCATATTATTTTAGTTAAACTATATGAAGAAAATCCAGCCTCACATTGATATGTGGTTGAAAAAGAGGGGGGTATCTTAATGATCATTTTAGATGTTCTTCTTTGATACTATACCAAAATTTAGCAGGTAGTAGTTTCTTTCTTTCTTTTTTTTTTTTTTAAGATTTTATTTATTTATTTGACAGAGAGAGACACAGCGAGAGAGGGAACACAAGCAGACGGAGTGGGAGAGGGAGAAGCAGGCTCCCTGCAGAGCAGGGAGCCTGATGTGGGACTCGATCCCAGGACCCCAGGATCATGACCTGAGCTGAAGGCAGACACTTAACCGACTGAGCCACCCAGGCGCCCCAGCAGGTAGTAGTTTCTTAAAGGTTAGTTGCAACTTGAAATCTGATGCCATATTAATGAACTTTTTGTGCTCTGTTACATTAAAATCCACTGGTCTTTGACTCTTGCCCTTTGAATGGATTTATCTACACATGATCTTGTAACATCATGTGCTGATCATTTAGAAAATACTGCTTCACTGAGTTATGCAGATCTTCTGAATGTTTACACATTTTATTATACATTGTTAAGAATAAATTTTCATTAATATCCCCCCTGGTCTCATCAGAGAAGTCTTTGAGTATTGCAAAGCTGTCAAGCTCATGGTAGTAGATGTAAGTTTTCCAAAATTCACTGGGAAGCTCAAATTTTATTTTTGGTAACAAAAACTTTTTTCATGAGTGACAGTCTGAGTTCATATTTTGAGAAAACCAAATCTGAACAACACTAGTTTGTCAGTTATCCTTTGGTATTTCATAAGAAAAGCAGCTAATTCAGCTCAAACTCAAAACAGCACTTTTCCTTGAGACAACCATCACAACTTCAGTATGCAGAAGTTCTTCACACATGCTTTCCACTGTTGCACAGAATATTGAAAAGACTCAAGGGTCAAGCAAGGCCTAATAAAATGGGTAATTTTTACTGCTTTATCAAGGACAGTCATAAGTGAAACATTTTTTTGCTTTGTTTTGTTTACTGTGAGCAAATGACAGCGAAAAGTACATTTGACTACGGGGACCATTTAGTGCCACTGCCTAGATTCACACGGTGCCAGGAGCTTTACCCACCATTGCTTTGCACCATTAGCAAAATGTCAGCAGTGATTTTCAGTCCCTGTTTTAGGATTTTTTTTAAAGATTTATTTATATGAAAGAGAGAGAGAGAGTGCGCACGCATGAGCAGGAGGAGGGGCAGAGGGAGAAGGAGAGAGAGAATCTTCAAGCAGAGTCCCTGCTGAGCATGGAGCCCAAAGCGGCCCGATCCCAGGACCCTGAGATCATGACCCGAGCTGAAATCAAAGTCGGATGTTTAACTGACTGAGCCACCCAGGTGCCCCCTTGTTTTAGGATTATTAAGAAAATAGTTTTAAGGGCGCCTGGGTGGCTCAGTCGTTAAGTGACTGCCTTCGGCTCAGGTCATGATCCCAGGGTCCTGGGATCGAGTCCCACATCAGGCTCCCTGCTCTGCGGGGAGCCTGCTTCTCCCTCTCCCACTCCGCCTGCTTGTGTTCCCTCTCTCGCTGTGTCTCTCTCTGTCAAATAAATAAATAAAGTCTTAAAAAAAAAAGAAAATAGTTTTAACCTTGAGAAGGTCTCAGGAACTCCAGGGGTCTGTAGACCACACTTCGAGAGCTGTCGACCTTAAGCCTGTATTCAACTATGTCACTGGGTTGTGTGAGGGATTAAGTGAAAGAGTAAAGTGCAAGAAACAATTCCTACACATAGAATAGACTAAATAAATGATAACTATTATTATTACTATTATTTTAAATGGAAAGGTATATAATGGGAAGGGAGGAAGTTTAGAGGAAGAGGAGAGATCTAACTTTTATTTAGTACCTTTTGCAGTCATTCCGTATTCTAGTTATTTTATGTGTCATCATATTTAATTCACAAAGCAACCCAGAGAGGAAGTAAATAACCCATTTTAGAGTTAAGGAAATGGGTTTAGAGAGATTAAACCTTTCACTCAAGTTCACAGAGCTAAAAAAAAAAAAAAAAGTCAGAATTCTCAGTCACTTGACCCTGTTCACTGGGCACAGGTTAACTAAGAGGGGACTAGAAGGGAAATCTATACTCCATTCCAAGTTGAGAAGTAGCAGAACTGCCTTGAATCAAGAGCTAACCCCTCTGACTTCATGAATTCATCTGAGAAGTATATTTTTAAAGTCTCAGACTTCCCACTTGTTCCTGAGAGCTATTCTACATTAGAATATTATTTTATTTTATTTTATTTTAACATGTCCTATTTTAGCTGTCCTATTTTTTAAGTTTTATTCCTAACTGAGGAAGTAAAGGCCTGCATCGTTAGCACTGGCATCCTGAGTCCCTGGAACGAGTGTAGAAGGGCAGCCTTACTTCCATGTAGTGGGAAGGAAGCACATAGCCCTCTGTTAAATCTGGAGGCTCTCAGCTGACCTATAACTATCATGCATCACAAACCTAAACTTTTGTTTGAGGCAATGAAGTATGAATTATTATTGTTACAAAGCACAACTTACATATCCAAATGGGTATTTTCCTTTTCAAAGCAGTCCTCTTAGGGGGTCTACATTTTTCTTTTAACTCTGCTGCTGTGGCTCAAAAGTGGCATGGAAGTCCTCTTTCAGAATTGCATCTTCCTCTTTGAATGCAGTTTCAAGTTTTAGAAGTAGCCAGAATCATTTGATGCTAAATCTGATAACTCGTGTGGCTCAAAAGAGGACATCGTTGGCTAAATCTTCAGTGGTGGGTTTCTGGACTAGATCTGGTTGGTTCAGGATACAATAAGTATTTTTTGAGCACCTCCTATATCTAGGCACTGTGCTAGGTGCTGGCCTCCAAGAGCTTATGTGAACACAGTTCTCGAGCTGCATTTCCTAAATATTTTGATGAAGTGTAGCATCTCTGAAACGAGGGTATAGTACCAAAGGACTGCACATATTTGTATGTGTATGTAGGTATCCATTTGTAAGATTCTTACTACATTATAGTAATCTTGTATATAACCCACTAGAATGCACAGGGAAATCAATTCATCTACAAAGCAAACATTTTTGAGTACCAGGTACTGTGGTAAGCAGCAGACATTTAAAAAAATGTAAACCGAAGGAGCCTAAAATCTGGTGGGACACAGACATATTCATCCACCCATGGAAAACATAAATGATGTAATAGAGACATGGATAGAGGACCACAGGGACCGGGAAGGCGCTATCTGTTCCTTTGAAGCCAGGTTGTAGCCATGTGATTCGCTGGACTGTTATTTTTCAAAATCCAATTTTAGACTTAGGGCGTATCTACCAAATACACTGTTCTGCAAACTTCAAGAAATTAGGTAAAAAGGGCCCTGGCTCCATAGTTGCGGAAGGGGCCGAAGTAGCCACCAGTCCTTCGGGACACTGCCTGGAGATGGAAGGTGGTCCAGAGGCAGTGCTGGGCGTCGCTGCCTTCAGCCGGCCTCAATTCTTTGGGAGGGGCAACTGGGAGTGTCCATACAATACTCTTTATTTTTACTCAATTTGGATTTTAGAATACGCAGTGGCATTTGAATATCTAGAGTTTAGTATTTTATCGTTTAGGAGAAAGCCAGATGGAAGCCAGGGGATGCCCTCAAACTGCCAGGGTGTCTAATCTCTTCACTGAAGCAAAAGGCAGAAGCTTGGACTGTTCAAGTACAGAATTTCAAGTTCCAAAATCCTATGTGCATTTACACTGGGCCATGTGATTGTCCTGTGATGAGCTCTACCAAGCCAGAGCCTGCAAGTTTAAGAAACGCTTCAGTAAGCCCCACCTGCCACTGGAACCTTTACCACCAGACAGGCCAAACTGGAGACTAGACCAATTCTACAGGCTTTCACTCCTTTCCAAGGGACTGACCTGAGTGCACAAGCGCCCCCAGCTGGTAACAGAGCTGGAACTCAGCCGGGCCCAACCTGAGCTTGGAAAACATTCTGGGCTATAGGATATAAACAGCTGTTGTCCCCAAGGGATCCCGAACGCTGAGCAAAGAGGAAGACGTGAAGGCCGCCGGGCCTGCGGGGGGGTTGCTCTGGTTCAAGGCCACACGTTATCTGGCACCCAGGAGACGTGGGGATAAGGAAAGATTTAGTGAGGATAAGGCAAGGCTTGGCCTGACGTGCCGGCACGGACCCCACAGAGGCCAGTGACCGTGGGTGAAGCTGTTTAGTTTCCTTGGCACTGTAGCCTGAGGCGCACTGCTTTGCCCCACAGAGCATCTGGAAAGAAGATGTAGGACAGTGACCACAACAGGCAGTAAAACGCAGTCAGAGAGAACGGAGACATGAGCAGCATGATGGCACCTAGAAGAAAAAAGGCAAACACTCCGTTTTTATGAAGCCCTCCTTCATGTATTTTCCAGCCTCTTCCCCATCCTCCCATCTTTCGGTTTGTACTCGTGGTGCTGAAGAGACAAAAATCAATGGGACGTGAGCCCTGCCCTTAAGGAGGTAGTGTCTGTTTGTAATTAGACGATTATAATCGGACGCAAGCTCAGGTTCCATTTTGTTGGATTCAGATCAGAAATCCAGTCTTAGCCGAGAATACATTTGAGTTGCCCAGGCCCCTTGTTATATATGATTGTGTCGAGTTTAACACGTGACAATGGCCAACACAATGTTACTCGTATGCAGAAGAACACAGCAGACCTGAGGCAGCTCTCCCTTGAAAGGCCTGCTTCTGCTTACCCGGTTATTCCTGTCTGGAGTCTGGGAACATGGCTGGTAAACAGTTCCCTATACCAGTATAGGACTTTCCCTCGTGGGCAAGAGTGGCTCACTGTGCTTAGATGGTGCTGAGATTGACTTCCTTCTGTGAAAATCTAGAATTTTGGTACTGCTAGGCCGAGGGTGCTGATGTGGCCAGCCCCCATGAAAACCTTGGGCACTGGGTCTCTACAGAGCTTCCAGCTAGATAAGACTTCATGAGTGTTGCCACAATTTCATGCTGGGTGGCCCCAGAGGGGCCCAGATTTTGCCCCTTTCACCTTCCCTTTGCTGCTCTTGCCTTGTGTCCTCTTGCTGTGACAAATCTTAGCCATGAGTCTAACTATAGGCACCCTGTGAGTCCCTAGAGAATCAATGAACCTGGGGGTGGTCTTGGGGGACCCCCAACACATTTGAATCTCAGATTCACCACTGAAAGGCAAAAGGGCGCCAACACTTGTGGGATATCTTCTTTGCATTAGACATTCTGCTAGGTATGTCACAAAGATTGTTCCATTTACATTTCACAATAATGGTGTGATTCAGAATCAAGTCTGTTTTTCAGATGAGGAGACAGAGGGGATGTAACCTGCACGAGGTCTTGATTCAAACCCATGTCTACTTTTGTAAAAAAAGTAGACACTTAGCCTCAGAGAGCTCAAAAAGAAGGTGGGAGAGTATGGGGCAACAGCATGTCCATGGGGATAACCACCACGCGTTCCTCAAGAGAAATCAGAACATTTGATCTGGCAGAAGACCAATTCTAAGGACAAGAGGCAGTTACAGAGATGGATCAGAACTTTGGGATACTTAATATTTAAGAATGGTCATTGATCTGTTAAGGCAATGAGACAATATTTTAGTTGTCCTGGAAAATATGTGACATAAGGTCTCAGTAGCCACAGGCCAGCTTCTCAGAAGTTCTGTGGAGGAGATGGAACCTCAGTCTAAAAAGGGGATTGGGGCGCCCCGCTGGCTCAGTGGGTGGAGCATGCAACTCTTGATCTCGGGGTTGTGAGTTCGAGCCCCACAGTGGATGTAGAGATGACTTAAAAATAAAATCTTAAAAAAAAATAAAATGAGGGCATCTGGGTGGCTCAGTCAGTTAAGGGTGCAACAGTTGATTTTGGCTTAGGTCATGATCTCAGGGTGGTGAGATCAAGCCCTGCATTGGGTTCCACACTGGGCGTGGAGCCTGGTTAAGACTCTCTCTCCCTCTCCCTCTGGTCCTCTCCCGCGCGCTCTCTCTCTCCAAAAAAATTTAATAAATAAATAAGTAAAAAGGTGACTATCTGCACTCCAGGTATAAGAGTAATATTAACAGTGGCCATTTAAAAATCTATCCAGTAGGGGGCGCCTGGGTGGCTCAGTTGGTTAAGCGACTGCCTTCGGCTCAGGTCATGATCCTGGAGTCTCGGAATCGAGTCCCACATCGGGCTCCCTGCTCGGCGGGGAGTCTGCTTCTCCCTCTGACCCTCTTTCCTCTCGTGCTCTCTCTCATTCTCTCTCTCTCAAATAAATAAATAAAATCTTAAAAAAAAAAAAATCTATCCAGTAGGGCTCTGGTATTAAATAGTGTCAAAATCTGTGAGGTGCAATTTCCTCCTTTACTCACAGAGCCAAGACAATCCAAGGAAGGCTGAGGCCAAGCATATGGTGTATTTTGAGGAGAGGGGATCAGTGGTATCTACAGGAGCAAAGAATATCGGGGGAAACACTGTTGCTATGAGATAGGAGTGCAGGTGGAAGGAAGAAGGAGTCTAGAAGTTTCCATTTACAGGACACATCTATGCCAGAGGATTGGTATACATTCTCTCATTTAATCTCAAGAATCCTGAGTTAGGGATTAATGGCTTCATTTTATAGATGAAGAAAACTGAGCTCAAAACAATGAGGTAATTAGCCCAAGTTCATGCAATTAATATGGGCTGGCGGGTCTGTTTTCCTCCTTTGGTCATTCTCCCGCCACTGAGTCAAAGTAGCCACTTAAAACCACTGCTCAGAAATCCCTTCAAAGGCTTCCCATTTGCTGTTAGGGTCGGTTCCCCAAAGCTGCCCATCTCGCAGCCTTGGCTTCTGTCCCTAGCGTCTCTCAGCAAGTTCCAGCCACACGGCTACACGAATTATTCCAGCACCTTCTAGCCGAGAGCCTTCACGAAATACCATTTTCTCTTCTGAACTACCCCTCTCACCCACCTAGCCAGTCATCTTGCAGGTTGTTTTTTTTTTTTCTTTTCCAGTTCCATTGAGATATCATGGACATATGACATTGTATTAGTCCAAGGTGTACAACATAAGGATTCGGTATTTGTGTGTGACACCATCAGCACAGAAAGTCTAGTAAGCATCTGCCGCCACACAAAGTTACACGTTTTCTTTTCTTGTGATGAGAACTTTTAAGCTCTCCTCTCCTAGCTACTTTCAAATATACGATATGGTATTGTTAACTGTGGTCACCATGCTGTCCCTTATGTCCCCAGGACTTACTTATAACTGGAAGTTTATACCTTTTGACCACCTTCACCCAGGTGCCATTTAAATGTGACCTTCTGAAGCAGCCTTTCCCCCCTTCAGGCCATTTCCGTCTAACTAGGTCCCCCTCCAACACCTTCTCAGAGCACCCTGTGCTTCCACAACGCATCACAACGATGCATTTCTAGTTATGTCTGTCATCATTTGGTTGGTGTCTGTGTCCCCTATCAGACTGTAAAGCCCGAGGTGGGAAGTGTTTGTCTGGTTTACCGATTTGGTTCCCAGCACCTGGCATATGGCAGGTGTCCCCGATTGAACTTGACAACATTCAACAAACACTCACTGAGCGGCTACCCCGTGGTTGGCACAATCGTGGGTCCAGGGATTATTGTGTGCCTAAAAGAGAGTTCTCTAGCCGGGCGCAGGTTTAGTGTGTGGAGACAATGAACAAGTAAAGGCATGCCAGATGACGATAAACCCCATGCGGAAAGATAAAGCAGGGTAAGGCAGCTCGGGAAAGCTGGGGCGAGGTACAGGGTGGCAGTGAGCAGCAGAGATAATAAAGAATCACTGGTGACATTTGTGAGCAGCCATTTTCACTCACCTCCCAGATAAACCAATTTTTTCCAGTTCTCAGACTCCAGGATTTCATCGTGTGGGTAGTAGCTCTGGTCCATCATGAATAGAACCATAAGTGAAGCCATGCAAGAGAGAATGAACGTGTTGCCTTTGGTCAGAAGGGAGGTGGAGGCTAAGACACAGGAAGCATAGCGGCAGGGTAGACCCCTGTACGTGAGCTGAGCATCTGCTGGAGAAAGAAGAGCTGGGCATTAGCTGCTTCCCACTGCTCTAATGCAATCTAAACCGAAGCAAGCCCCTCTCATTGGGTCTTCCCTGCCCCACGTTCCAAATCCCCTTCCTTGCAGGGCAGTGGCAGGCTGTAAAGCATTTAGTCATTCACAGAGAGGACTCGGCACCGGATCCCCACGGGGAAGCAGGCTGCCAGGACCAGGCAGGGGCCCCGGCCCGGAAGACAGCTCTGTAGAAGGGTCTCCCGAGGTCGTCTGGTCTGCATCCGCCCTCCCTTGCACTGGGAACTTGGGCAAGGCAACTGCCCTTGACAGAGCTCCGTTTCTCCGTCTGTTGTGGAAAACTGGAGGATGACCTCTGGCTCTAGATTCTGTGAGTCTCTGTGCACCCTCTAAAGGTCACACAATAAGAAAAAGGCACAGCTGCTTGGAGAACCCCGGGCCCCTGCCCCCAACCAGGGCTCTGCCAGTGCAGCCTGCAGCCTTCAGTGGGCCTGGGGCGCAGGAGAAGGAAGAGGGACTCCACAAAGGAGGGGGAGAGTCAGCCACTGTCCTCCTGGCTTCTGGCACCCAACAGCTCCCCCTCCCTGGCTCTTGACGCTCAGCTACAGAGCTGGGGTTCACTTACCAGTTGAATAGAAACACAGGCGGAAAGTAGCAGCTAACACATAGATGACAGCCAGGAACCCACTCAGAGGCCCGTCCACACCGAGGAGCAGGCCTGAGGCCAGGCCAAAGGTGGTGAAGATCGCAAAGTCATTCAGCTCCACTCCTGCTCCAGAAGGCCAAGGTTAGAACTTACACTCATTTGTCTTGCACCTTAGTCCACTCTGGTGGGGGAGCTGCAGTGGTGCCAAGCAGGGTCTGAGGTCCCAGAGAGCCACAGCTGCTCCCCAGGGGGATCAAAGACAGGGGCTCCTCCTGGCTTTGCCTCACACTGGCCCTGCGGCCTTAGACAAGTCTTCCCCTCTCGGGTCTTAGTTTCCCACCCTTTAGCATCTAGGACTGGGACTACGACTGGATGCAAATTGACAAGTTAGGGAACCCTTTTTTCAAGCACAATCTTACACGAAAATAGTTCCTTGTATTTTGAACCAGCTGCTCGGCAACCACCACCTCAGCCACCACCCCAATCCCGATCCCTGGATCGGCCCCAATGGGGAGGCCAGGGCAAGGATGGCTGAAGCTAACAAGTGAGCCAGTGGAGGGCTAGCTCTAGACTGTGGGGCTCCCGGACGGCTCTAGGGCTGCTTCTGCCATCCTTGGAGGGTTGTGAACAGGAGTGGTGACCAATGGAGGCCTGTTGGATGTTGGGGGGGTGGATTTGAGATGGGGGCTCCTGGGGTCAGGGATCAGGGGTCTGAGGCCTGGACTCACCTGACTTGGAGCAGAGGCTGAGGTGTCTGGTTATCGCCCCAACTGCCATGTCTAACAGGAAGCTGATCAGAAGCATCCAGGAGGCACTGTGGCATCTCCTAAAGTATATGGCAGCAGGCCCAAATAGGACGGCTCTTTCATGGTCTCCACTGGCCAACCACTCCACATACACCAACACACTTCCTACATTTGCACACCTGCACACACCCCTGCCCTGCATGTTCCCCACACTCATGTTCTTTCTGAAATACACTGTTTTATACACCACACACACACACACACACCTGCCATACTTTCAACCCACAGTCTTAAAGGGGTGCCTGAAGTGCCATAGATAATCAGTAAGGTCCCTTCCAGCTCCAAGTCCCAGGCATATCTGAGAGCACAGGAGTCCTGTGTTTTAGCCCAGCCTTTGCAATCATCTCACTGTGGATTCTCAGAGAAATCTCTCCCTGCATCTCTAGGCCTCCCTTCCTCCATCTGTAAAATGAGGGGTTTGTGCCAAATGACTTAATAGATATAGGCCTATCTAGATGATCTATTTCTCCTAGTGCAAGTTTTGGTAACTTATGACTTACGGAATTGGTCCATTTCATTTAGGCTATCAAATTTATAGAGTTGTTCATAATATTCCTTTCTTAATACTTTTAATGTCCATGGGATCAGTAGTGATGGCTCCTCTTTCATTTCTGATATTGGTATTCTGTGTCTTCTCTTCTTTTCTTTACTTTTCTTGGTTAGCCAGACTAGAGGCTTGTCAATTTAATTGATCTTTCCAAAGAATCAGCTTTTGGTTTCATTGATTTTCTCTACTGATTTTTTTATTTTCAGTTTCATTGACAGCTGCTCTCATTTTTATTATTTCTTCTCTTCTGCTTACTTTGGATTTAATTTGCATTTCCCCTCCTAGTTTGCTAAGGTAGAAACCTTACATTATTGATTTTATATCTCCCTTCTTTTCAGTTTTTCTAAGACTTTTTTTTTTTTTGGAGAGATTTTAGGTTTACAACAAAATTGAAAGGAAGCTACAGAAATTTCCCATATACCCCCTGCCCCCACATATGCATACCCTCCCACATTGGCAACATCACTCACAAGAACAGTACATTTAGATTCTTCGTACATACAAAGGATGAAACTCCACTGACACATCATAGTCACCCAAAGTCTGTAGATTACCTTAGGGTTCATTCTTGGTGTTGTACATTCTGTAGTTTTGGACAAATGTGTGATGACATGTATCCATCATTATAGTATCATGCAGAGCATTTCCACTGTCCTAAAAATCCTCTATGCTCTACCTATTCATTTCCCCCCACCCGCTCCTGTCAACCACTGGTCTTTTTATTATCTTCAGAGTTTTGCCTTTCCAGCGTATCATATCATATTACTGTAATCATACAGTATGTAGCATTTTCAGATTGGCTTCTTTCACTTAGTAATATGCGCTAAAGATTCCTCCACATCTTCTCATGGCTTGATAGCTCTTTTTTTTTTTTTTTTTTTAGCACTAAGTAACACTGTTTGGAAATACCACAGTTTATTCATCTGTTCACTTACTAGAAGGTATCTTGGTTGCTTGCAAGTTTTGGCAATTACAAATAAAACATCATAAACATCCAATTGTAGGTTTTTGTGTGGACATAGCTTTTCACTCATTTGGATAAATAGCAAACAGTGTGATTGCTGGATCATATGGTAAGAGTATGTTTAGTTTTGTAATAAACTGCCAAATTGTCTTCCAAAGTGGCTGCACCATGTTGTATTCCCACTGTTGCTCCATACCCTCGCCAGCATTTGGTGTTATCAGTGTTCTGGACAACTGGTTTGGCTGATAGGTGTGTGGTGGTATCTCATTGTTACTTTAATTTGCATCTCCCTGATAACATATGGTGTGGAGCATCTTTTCACATGCTTATTTGCCATCTGTAGATCTTCTTTGGTGAGGTGTCTGTTAAGGTCCTTGGCCCATTTTTTAATTTTTTGTTTTCTTACTGATGAGTTTTTAAGCTTTGTCTATTTTATAGCCCTTTATCAGATGTACCTTTTGCAAATATTTCTCCCAGCTTATAGCTTGTCTTCTAATTCTCCAGACGTTGTCTTTCACAGAGCAGTTTTCTTTTCCAGTATATGCATTCAATGCTATACATTTCCCTCTAACTACTGCTTTTACAGCATCTCACAAATTTTGATAAGTTGTACTTTCATTTTCTTTCGGTTCAAAATACTTTTCTTCTATAACTCATGTATTATTTAGAATTGTGTTGTTTAACCTCCACATATTTGGGGATTTTCTAGTTATCTTTCTGTTACTGATTTCTACTTTAATTCCATGTGGTCTAAGGGCATACTTCGTATGATTTCTATTCTTTTAAATTTAAATTCAGTCTTATAGCCTGAATGTGCGAAGAGAAGAATGTGTATTCTGCTGTTACTGGATAAAATATTCTATAACCGTCAATTAGATCCGGTTGATTGATGGTGCAGTTCAGTTCAACTATCTCCTTCTTGATTTTCTGCCAACCGGATCTGTCAATTTCTGGTAGAGGGGTGTTGAAATATATAACTATGATAGTGGATTTGTCAAGGTCTCCTTGCGGTTCTATCCATTTTCATCTCACATATTTTGATGCCCTAAATGATTTCTAAGACCTCTTGCAGACCCTACATTTGAGTATTCTACGCTGCAGTCCAACACATGCTCCCAGACTGCTCTGAAAGCAGCCACTGCAGTCTCAGGCAAGGCTGCCCCAGGATGCCATTCCTGAGTCTACACCCTGATTGCAATGTTTGGATGGCCAAGCGGAAGCAGAGAGCTTGACCCCAGACTTCAGCTGTCTCTAAACCACCTCAGCACTACCTTCCTTTAGATCCATAACTATGTGTCTACAGGGAACTGGGTTCACCATTGCGCCATAAAAACTACACTCCCAGAAGATTAGACTGAACTAAGAAGATATTTTCTGTTGCAGGTGTGATGTACTGTATAAGACTCCACAAATCCAGACTTAGAGCATCATAAAATTTTCAAACTGGAAGGGAACTCAGACATCATCAGATAAGATCATCTTAAATTATGGATGAGAAAGTGATCCAGAGAAGTCACATGCTGATGGTCATAGAGAATAAAACCGGAGGAGGGTACCTGCATTATAAAGGATTTCTCTTTAAAGAACTGATTTGCCAAGGCATTGAAATATGATTCAATTATAGAAATATAATTTGCTTACAAAATACAATTTGCTTTGCTTTTTAGGGGCCCATATACATGTCTCAGATTTTCCACAATAGTGCTAATTGTAAATATTCCCCCACATCATATGTTCTAATTTAAGAATCAAAAATTTTAGGGGCACCTGGGTGGCTCAGTCATTAAGCGTCTGCCGTCGGCTCAGGTCATGATCCCAGGGTCCTGGGATCAAGCCCCGCATTGGGCTCCTTTCTCCGCGGGAAGCCTGCTTCTCCCTCCCCCACTCCCCCTGTTTGTGTTCCCTCTCTCGCTGTGTCTTTCTCTGTCAAATAAATAAAATCTTAAAAAAAAAAAAATCAAAAATTTTGAATGGTAGCCTGCTTACCATTAAGTAGGCAGGATTAAGTAAGGGCCACCAGAACAGAATCTCTTCATTTCTCTCATAAAAACCATTCTAGACTGCCATAGCTGGAAGGAACTATAGAGATCACAGTGCAAGCTCCTTGTTTTAACCAACTTTTTTTTTTTTAAAGATTTTATTTATTTATTTGAGAGAGAGAGAATGAGAGATAGAGAGCACGAGAGGGAAGAGGGTCAGAGGGAGAAGCAGACTCCCTGCTGAGCAGGGAGCCCCATGTGGGACTCGATCCCGAGACTCCAGGATCATGACCTGAGCCGAAGGCAGTCGCTTAACCAACTGAGCCACCCAGGTGCCCAAGCTCCTTGTTTTAGAGATGGGGAAACCAAGGCTCAGGGATATGACCTAGCCAAAGTCATATGTCAGGTTGGTGGTAGAACTATGGCTAGGATCTTGGCCACTTGACTCCCAACCCACTACACTTTCTCCTGTCCCTGGTTGATCCTGTGTCTCAGGGCCTGGCTCGCTAGGCTCCCCACTCCTTCCCTCATGCCACTGACTCCAGCTCTTGGCTAAGAGCTTGCTGGGCCCTAGACCTACTTGCAGAAGCTGCAGAAGATGGAGAAGAGCCCCAGGATCAGGTTGGCCAGGGACAAGGCATTGGTAACGTCCTTCCAGGAAAATTCATTCATCTGGGGACAGCTCCAGTCGTTGGTCAGGAAGAAACTGGTGCAGTGATCTGGGGCTCAGAGGAGAGGGGTAAGGGTTCCCAAGGTCAAAGAGTCCCAAAAGAGGCTCCCAGGGACCAGGCAGTTCCTGTTTGCCGGACTTCATCCCAGAACCGCACCCTCCCAACACTGTTTCACTGTCTGGAATGAGAGAGACAGGAGGCAGATGGAGGAGACCAGGAGGTAAAGACAAAGGTGCTGAGGATGAGTGTCTTGGGGAAGCACAACAGCAAAGCAAGTGAGCCCGCACAACCAGTTGACTGTACCCCTTTTGCCTATAGTGCAGACCTCCCTCCAGCCCATGTGGTGACTCTTCTGGTACCCCCATGGCCCAGGGGACGAGGGGTATGGACCCTTCCCCCATCTGAGAGATGAGCCTTTTGTCATAGGTGAGCCCTTGTTAAAACAATTACAAAGCTACTTTTAATACTTTTTTATTCCTGTGGGGTGAGCCCCAGAGGAATAAAAAAGAACCCTGGGAAGGGGTAACCCCCACCCCCCAGGAATAGCCCAGGGGGTGAGAAGCTCCCTGAGGGGTAGAAAGCACAGAAGAGACCGCCATGGAGTCAGCCTCCTTTGTTCTGCAGGCCACGCTCACTCCCTCAGGACAGGGCTGCCGCTGGAGTGCCCCAAGGTCCTGGTTCTGACGGGCCCCAACCAGAACAGCAGGCCCAGCTCCCACAGGGGAAGAGGTGAGACACAAGAAATGAACATGGACAGCACAGAAGAGTTCACAAGCACCTTCTACTATGTTCTCTCTCCTGATCCTGACAACCTCAGAAGATGGTGCTATCATGATTTTATGAATGAGAAAACTGAGGTTCAGAGAACTGAGACATTGGCCCAAAGTGACACGCTAGGGAAGTAGAAGGTAATCCTGCTGCCAGGTTCTCAATCTGGTGCTTCCTTGGCTGGGGGCACAGGTCTGGGCAGGAGGAGGTTTGTGGGGTAGGAGACCAAGTAGGAGCTCAGTTGGCCAGCCCTGCAGGGCAGCATCAGCCTCCCCCTGTGGCAGCAGCCCTGCCGGGGGCTCCTCACACCTCCCAGCCCCTCCGGGCTATGGGCAATGAGTTGGCCCAGCCCGTTTTCACAGCCTGGCAGGCTCTGCTCTTCCTCTAAGACCAAACACGCACTCCGTACACATAGACTGCTTGTGACATGAAGTCTCTTTTGGAGGAAGAGCCCCAGGGCTCCCTGGAACAGGGAAGCCCCGCTGGTTGCTACGCATGCTACCCACAAACAGTAATCCTGCCCCTGAGTGAAATACACAAGTTCCAAGGTGTTTTCACAGCTGCTTCCTCATTCAATCCTCACTCATTTGAGAGGGGAGGAAGCTGAGCCTCTACCTCCTCTCAGCCCGTGTCTAGCCCCAGGCCCCTCTGGTCTGGGCAAGAGTTAAGACAAATTATGGTCCTTTCCCATAAACCCGGCCACCAAGATATCAGAGGCTGGGAGGGGCTGGGCTTGGAGTTTGGAACTGGGCAGGGTTCATGGGGCTCACTCCCCCCCCCAGGTCAGTCTCATTCACCAAGGCCATCGGGACTCCTGAGACCCTCTCAGATGTCAGGGCCCCTCCAAACCTAAGACAAGAAGAATGCTGGCTGAGAAATCAGAGAGGGGAGGGGAACCAAGGGCTGGCTGCCTACTCCCTCCCCAGGAGCCCCCCCTCCCAGGCTCTTCTGGGCCTCAAGGCTGACCCCAGCAAGACCAAACACCTCTGCACCCAGCCCAGCCCACCCCTGCCTGGAGAGCCGCACGCCAGCATCTCGGCCCCTCAGAGGTAGTCAGCACATACTTGGGGCATTTCTACCAATCACCAGACACACCTCATCTGCACTACTTCAGTTATTTTTTAAATTAATGATCAATTATCTACTATATCATCCCTTTCATTCAGGAAGCACTTTCACATCCGTGGTTTCCATTGGCCCCGTGAGGTCGGCCAGGTGAGGGTTACTACCCCTATTCGCACGCAGGGTAAGGCAAAGAAGACTCAGAGAGGGGAAGAGCCTTGCTCAAAATCACACCAGAAGTGGCAGAACAGGACTTACAACGTCACCTTAAATGTTCTTTCCCCTCTACTCTGCACTCTGCTGTCTACCAACCAACAGGCCTGAGCACTGTATTCTCCCTAAGCTCAGACTAAGCTAGGTGCTGGGGAAAACCTTCATGGAATGTCCAGTCTACCCAGGGAAACAACACTCATGCATGTGGGGACTCTCAGACTCTTCACCTTACAGGTGAGGAAACTGAGTTTTCAAGATAGTCAAGTGACTTCTCCCAGTGAATGATGGAGCCAGGATTTGAATCGGGCCTCCTCTTTCCCAATTAAATGACATTGTCAGCATACAGCATGGGTCCCAGGTGTGAAAGAATGTGGACCTCAGAGTAAGGGCTCTAGAAATTCAGAGAAAAAAGGAGCAATCCATTCATTCAGCAAACATTTGATCATGGGCAAGATTCACTGCCTGGTGCTTGGGACACCGAGAAGATTAAGACCTGGTCTCATGTCTCAAGGAGTTCAGTAGAGCAGAGGTATTCAACTGCACAGAAAAGGGGAGGTGGCCAGGCTGCCAGGGGAACATAGAAGAGGGGTCCAGCCTGACGGGGGGCTTAGAGAAGGCTTCTCGGGTGAGGGGGTCCGAGGCGAGGCGTTGCTGGGCAGCGGCCTGCAGGACTAGATCATGTCACTACCCCACTTTGTGCAAGCTGTCCATGGCTTCCCAGGCGCCCAGGATGGAGTCCATCTCCTTCCTTTGGTGTACCAGCCCTTATGATGAAGCTGGCTCTCCCTCTGCTCTCAGGGAAGCCTGACCCCGCCCCCCCCCCGCCGCCCCAGCCAGGCGCCCCTCTACACTGCCGCATCTCCATGTGCTCACCATGTGACACCGGGCACTCTGCCCTGGCACGGCCTATTCTGTCTTCCTCCTCTACTACAGGGGAAGCAACTTGAGCACAGGCTGTGGTCCCCTGTGCCCAGCACGAGGCCTGACAATAGAAGTTGTTCGATGATTGTTAAGTTAGTAGAGGATGTCACTCTGGTGCTTCCCCAAGATCCTCTCACTGCACCAAGTCACATCTCTCCCCTGCCAGAGCCTGTTCAGTCTGTCCTCCAAGAAGCCTTCTCAGATGAACTCTCAACAATCCAGACCCTCCGCACACCCAGCATCTACCCAGTGCTTAGGATCTTCCATTTAGTCATTTTTAAATGCATGTGTTGATGCCTGCTCCAAGCCGGGACTGCGTTCTGGGGGCAGAGAGAACAAGAGCTAGGCTGTATCCTCAAGAGGCAAGGAGCCTCGTTGGGGAGGCAGATCCGTGTAGAGAAATGAAGGCAGTGTGGCAAGGGTCATGCTGCACAGGGGCTCTCCCGTCGCTGTGGGTGCACCAGGAAAGCCCAGACTAAGTCGGCTGTGGCAGCAGGGGAAGCTGTCACTAATGGGATATTTAGGGAGGGTCTCCAAGGATGAAGGGGGGGCCCTCCTGGCAAAGCGGAGAAAGGTGCCAAAGCACAATGAGGCGGCGGGGTCCCGGGGGCGGGGACTGAAGGTGCAGTGGGCAGGGAGGCCACAGGCGGGGATATGCCCACGTGACCCTGTAGCGTCGCAGTGATGCTTGGTCCGGAGGTGTCTGGGTCAGATATGGTTGGGGGTGGAGGGGAGAAAGGGAGGAAAAGGAAGGCAGCCCTGAGGGCAGCGAGGGCAGAGAAGCCGGCGAGCAGGAAGGGCAGGGCACGGGGAGAGCGGGCAGCACCAGAGGGGAGAGGGGTATGGCCCCGAGGCCGTGCGGCTCCTGTGCCTGGAAGCGGGGCGCAAACTAGAGCGGGCATGCGCTCGGTGGGGAGGGGGCTCCCGCCGCCCCTGGGACGCCCGGCGCAGCCACTGCGGTTAGAGATGCCCCCACGCCCAGCCTCGCGGGCCACTCCCGCCACAGACCGCCCCGCCCCCTCCCCGCCGGCGTCCGAACCCCGCGGGGCTGCAGCACCAGCCCTGACGCCGCCGGGCGCCCGAAGATGGAAGAGAGGGAGCCAGGCTCGCCTCCAGGACCGCTCCACCCGCCGCCCCCCCCCCCCGGGCGGGGGCTGGTCGCTGACAGCACTCTGGGGAGGGAAGCACTCTGGGGAGGAGCATGCGCTGCCTCGGATGCCTACCTGGGGACCAGACATTCCTGGGTGGGGTGAGGGCAGCACTCTTAACCCGCTTCCTGTGCGGTGGAGCAGGCCAGCCGGGGACTGGGGGAGCCGCACGGGTCCCAAGCCTCTCACCCCTGGCTCTTAGCTCACAATCCCCAAGAGGCAGGGGAGGGGCTGGGGGGGTAGCTCTAGTTGGCAGAAAAGGGGGCTTCAATTTACAGAGGAGCCTAGGCCACCCTGGGGGCGGGGAATGGAGGGGTCTGGGAGGAGGGGACTGGTCTCTCCATCGTGGCCAGCAAGGGGGGTGAAGAGACCAGAGTGCAGGGCATGTGGGAGGTGGGCTGCAAGGGCTTTGGGGAAGATGGGGCTCTAAAAGGGTGGCTGGGGTCCAGACTGTGAAGGGCCCCCGGGGCAGAGCTTTTGCTGTTTGGGTCACTGCTGTATCTTTGCACCTATAAGAACTGCTTAGGCATATGGTAAGTCCCTCCCATCCCACCCCAGTATCTGTTGGTTGGATGACGAAGTGAGTAACTTAGACTCAGTCCTGAAAATAGTTTAAAGTAGGGAAGTGACATGGTCATGTTGGTTTAGAAAGATGATTCTGGCAGCTAGTGTGGAAGAAGGCTCTGTAATACTGCAGGAGAGATGAGGCAGGCCAGAGCAGGGACGTATTGCTGGACAGCAACAGAAGGGAGTGGGAGGAAGGAGCCGGACTAGGAGCCATTGTGAAAAGCATCCCAAGGGTGTGGGAGAGAAATGAGAGGGAGAAGGTAAGAGCCTCTCCGAGGGTCTCAATGTGGCAGCTATGATGGCACTATTCTGGCCTATCCCGTCTTCCTCTACTACAGGGGAAGCAACTTGAGCGCAGGCTGTGGTCCCCTGTGCCCAGCACGGGGCCTGACAATAGAAGTCATTTGATGATTGTTAAGTTAGTAGAGGATGTCACTCTGGTCCTTCCCCAAGATCCTCTCACTGCACCAAGACACATCTCTCCCCTGCCAGAGCCTGTTCAGTCTGTCCTCCAAGAAGCCTTCTCAGATGAACTCTCAACAATCCAGACCCTCAGCACACCCAGCATCTACCCGGCGCTTAGGATCTTCCATTTACTCATTTTTGTGTGCTACAGAAAGAAGCTTGTTAGTATTGGGTAGGTTCCCAGACACAAGTTCGGATACCTGCCGCACATCCTCCCACCTGCCCTAAGGCTGTGTTAGAGCGGCAGTGGCTTCCAGGACCCCACAGGAGAAAACGCAAGAGAAGGGGTGGAGTTGGGTGGTCAGGTGACACTTTGCTTCTGTTAGCAACCAGGAGGGGAAAAGAGGGGCGAGCCCTGAGCGGCGACTAGCCACCTGCACTGTGCCCGGTGCTTTACGAACATCATCATCATCTTACTGGACATTCTCAAATGCCCTCGACATTAGTACTAGCATTCCTATTCTCCAGAAGAGGAAATGGAGGATTTGTTGATTTTCATGATTGGTGGAGCTGAGACCTAAACACAGTCCAACACTAAAGTCAGACTTAAGGTGTCTGAGAAACTAAAAGGGAAAACGAGGATGGAGGCAACAAGTCCAGGAGTCAGGTCAGCTCCCTTCCATCCTTTGTCTTTACCTTAATTCGTCCACGCCACATGGACCATTCGTGGCAGATTAAAAACTACGGCATACTGAATCTACTGCTGGCTTTAACTCTGGGCCAAACTCATGCTGCAGCTCTAACACTACCAGATGTGGAAATCTGAACGGGTTACTTTGCTTTCCTGAACCTACTTCCTAATCTGTAAAATGGGATAGTTGAGTGAACTAAACAATGTGCTCAGCACAGAGTAGAAGGTCAATCGTTGTCATCATTATTATTCTTCTAAGGACACGATCACGCCTCTGTTAGCCTGGACATCCCCAAGGATTCCTTCCGAAGAGGGAGAGGAAGCAGGGGTAGCTACAAAAGACACGTGTCCCCATCTGTCAGAAGTTTCTAGCTTCCTTCTGTTCTGGATCTCACAAGGAAGGAGGGAACAAGAACAGTACAGTTAGACTGTCTACACTTTTACTAATATGGTAGCCACTAGCCACGCATGGCTCTTAAGCACTTGAAGTGTGGCTAGTCTGAACTGAGATGTATTTATAAGTTCATATATAGATATATAAAATATATTTATAAGTTCACCTGTTTGTATTTTTTAAGGTAGCTACTAAAAATTTTAAAGTCATACGTGCGGCTCATACGATATTTCCATGAATGTCACTGACTTAGACCCCTTACAGGATTATAAGTACATAGACATAGCTGTCCATCCACTCATACGTTATTAGAGCATTTATGATGTGCCAGGCACTAGTTCGGGTGCCAGGGATGGAGCCGCAGACAAAACAGACAGTTTCTGTCCTCGCAGAACTCACACTCAAGTGTGGGGGAAAGGCAACAAATAAGGTCTGCTCGTGAAAAGGGTGATGGAAAACAAAGCAGGGTGAGCCGTCACTTGGACGTGAGAGGAGTTGGGATTTCTGACAGGGTCATCAGTGAAGTGATATGCGAGCAGCGACCTAAAGGATGAGAAGCCACAAACCAGGCAAAGATCTTGGGGGCAGTGTTCTAGGCAGGAACAGCAAATGTAGAGCCTCCAAAGCAGAAAGGAGCTTGATTTGTTAAAAGGACAAGGTCATCGGGAACAGGGTGAGTACGAAGAACAGTGGATCACATAGAACCTTGGCAAGAGGCTTGTATTCTATTCTAAGGGTAATGAGAAATTCTTGGGTCATTTTTATAGAGCAGGGTTATGACCCGAATTCTCTTTGTGAAGGACAATGCTCCCAGTCTCTGTGGGGCTAGACTGAAGCAGGGTGAGAACGGGGGCAGGGAGGTGAGCTGGGAGGCCGCTGCACTAGGCCAGGCCAGAGACACCGGTGGTCTGGCCTGAGGGGTCGGGGTGGAGGCGATGAGAAGCTGTCAGATTTGGGATATATTTTGAAGACAGCTGAGAAGACTTGCTGACTGGTGTGGGAAGAACAAGCAGAATCGAGGATGACTTAGACTTCTGGCCTCAAAAAACAGAGGGAGCTAGGTGTTGATGGCAGAACAGGGGCTGGTGATGAAACACGTCTGGGGCAGAATTCAAGGCTTTGGTTTGGACACGTTAGGGTTGCAATGACATCAAGTGAGGCTGTTGATAAACAAGCCTGCATGAAGCTGGGGAGAGATCAGGACTGGAGGCAAGCTAGTGAGCCAGCAGCATAGGAGTGGTAGGTGATCCCTGGGGATGGATTAGATCACCTAGCAGAGAGAAAGAAGAGAAGGCTAAGGAATAGGCCCCAGAGCAACCCAAAAGCTAGGTGTCAGGAGACAGAAAAGGTGTAGTCAGCAAATTAGGAAAAAAAGCAAGAGATGCTAATATCCCACATCAAAATGAAGAAAAAAGCTTTCAAGTAGAGGGTGGTCCACTGAATCAAAAGCTTCTTTAGAAGTAATTACTCCAGGCACTTAGTAGCTCCTTCCTCCCAAGCTGCAGCTCCTTATGGGGATGAACCTTATCTTGTGCATGAGGGTTTTTCACAGGCTTTAGTGCTGGAAACACGGGCTCCACTGCTTAGGAGCTGTGAGCTTAGGTAAGTTACTTATCTTCTCTGGGCCTTGATATACATCCCCTCCGTGCTCATCACTACACACCCAAGTGAACGACTCCAATAGCATCCCATAAGCACATCTAACCTCTGTCACTTTTATGTTTTAACTTCCTTACACCTCTATGTTGGGATCCCCTAGGACTGGTTATGGTTAGACTTGAATCAAACAGGACTGTTTGATCTATATAACCATGGACCTATTGCTTAATCTTTGGGCAGATGTTCCTGCTTTCTAAAACAGAGATACTGTTGGCGCCCGGGTGGCTCAGTCGGTTAAGCATCTGTCTCTGGCTCAGGTCGTGATCCCAGGGTCCTGGGATCGAGCCCCATGTCAGGCTCCCTGCTCGGTGGGGAGTCCACTTCTCCCTCTCCTTCTACCCTTAGCCCCGGCTTGTGCTTGTTCTCTCACTCTTGGGCTCTAATAAATAAATAAAATCTTTTAAAAAAATAAAAGAGAGATACTATATACCTCATAGATGGTTATGTAAAAATTAAATCAGATAATGGATATGCTTGGCAGAATAAACGCTCACTAAGCAGTATTTATCATCTTTGTATCTGTAACACCAATACTCTCAAGGCCTGTGGACTGACAGATAACTTGAGAAGGTAAGGACACAGCAGACCCTCCTTCCAGACAGCTAGGATGGAGTAAGGGAGGTGCACTCAACTGCTACTCACACCCAGCGAACCTGGACAGGGCCAGCATGGTGGTCTAATAAAGAAAATATAGAGTGCTCATCATTCTGGGAACTACCAGGGATGTCTCCCCCTTCCATATTTTGCTGAGTGGATCCCCACCACCCGTATCAGCATTCAAGCCAGAAGTTCAAGCATTATCTGAGAGTCTGTCTTCTCGCTCAACCCCCGCCATCTTATTAGTTAACAAGATGCAATCTATTGTAGCTTCAAAACGCCATACTTCATCAGATCCAAGATATCAACCATTATAAGACACGTAAGACACACCATTATGTTATACAGTTCTAAGAAAGGAAAAAATGCTGCCACTTAAACTGTGACGTGCCACTGACTTTTAGAAGCATCCAAGTTCCCGAGATATTAAAATGTGGGGGAAGAAGAGTACATCTTACAGTTGATGAAGTTGTACCTCTCATTCCATCACTGCTACCTTAGCTCAAACCTCCATCATCGCTTGGATGATGTTAGACTAGGGATGGAAGCTCCTAATCAATCATCTTCCTTCCACTCGTCCTCTGATGCCAAAAGAGGTTTATACAAGGCCAATATTACCAACTCCCACCCCAAATCTTTCAATCAAGTCTTCTCCCATAGCCCCTGGCCCACATTCTTCACTTTAAATTGGCTGCAATTCCCCAGATGTCATATTGCTTCTAGTCTGGAATACCTCCTAGCTATTAGAAGTAAGAGTTCTCTAGCCAGGGCATACCTCACTCCAGCCCTCCTGCCTGCCGGGACTGGTTTGGTTAATACAGCTTGTTAAATGGATATCCCTTTCTTCACTCACAAATAAATTCCATCCAAAAATGAACCCTACTCCAAATGCCAAAGACAATTTTGGGTGCCTGGGTGGCTCAGTTGGTTAAGCGACTGCCTTCGGCTCAGGTCGTGATCCTGGAGGCCCGGGACTGAGTCCCACATCGGGCTCCCTGCTCAGCAGGGAGTCTGCTTCTCCCTCTGACCCTCTTCCCTCTCGTGCTATCTCTCATTCTCTCTCTCTCAAAAAAATAAATAAATAAAAACTTTAAAAAAAAAAAAAAAAGACAATTTTCCTATAGAGGACAGGTGGAGTCTCCAAACAAGCTCTAGCTTGTTTTTCAACACCTACGTGGGTGTCTGCTCTTCCAAGAAGTCTTCCCAAATTCTCCAACCTGAGTTAGGTAGCCTTCCATGGTGCTCCATATCCCATGCATACCACTATCATAGCCTTTTTTATATCACATTGTAATTGCTGACTTGGTTTCTCCCCCACTAGACTGACAGCTCCCTGGACACAGGTGCCTTTTTACTCAGCTGTGTTATTCTCCAGAACCTGGAACCTAGAAGGCACTTAATACTTATAAAATGGTTGAATGGATAGATGGATGGGCGAATGGAAAATAGTTAATGTCTATAACCTGTGGGTCCTAGTTCCCCACTCTGAGACGCTACCTCCAAAATCACCGCATTGCCACAGACTTTCCCCAAGCTTGGTAATTGACTGAGGCCGCAAAGAGCAACGGCACCACCTGGTGGGCAGTGCGGGAAGCGCACCTTATTGAACAGCAGGAACTTTTTTTTGAACCGTTCTTTTTGTTGTTGTTGTTCCACTCAATGCTGAGTGAGGGGGATTTGTATTTTAAAAAGATCAAGCTGGGGTGCCGGGTGGCTCAGTTGGTTGGCGACTGCCTTCAGCTCAGTTCGTGAGCCCGGGGTCCTGGGATCAAGTCCCGCGTCGGGCTCCCTTCTCGCTGGGGAGCCTGCTTCTCCCTCTTCCTCTGCCTGCCACTCCCCCTGCTTGTGCTGTCAAATGAATAAATAAAATCTTAAAAAAAAAATAAGAATAAAATAAAAAGCTCAAGCTGATGACTGTATGCAGAATGGA